GATTAAAAACAGCAACAATAAAACAATGTCCCATTTCAAAAAACCTAACCATTTAAGGTGACAATAGAATGGTGAAAATGATACTCTGTTCCAGCATGAACCAGATGAAATCCATTGTAGCTATATTAATATTGGAGTAGAATGTGAGAGAAAACCCATCAGTGGAGAAGGAAAGGACATTTCTTTGTAAAATAAGATTTAATACTTCAGGAAAATAGTCTGCAAATTTGTCTCTACATAACATTAGAATTATATAATGTAAACTATAGATATAAATACTGTAGTGGGAGATTCTTAACACAGAAGAAAGATGAATGAGGATATGAAAAATATAAACAAAATGGTTAGCATATTTGGTTTGGTAGACATATGTAGATACCTGTAACCACTAGCTGTGGAATATGTATCCTTTTGAGGTGTATATGGGACACTTAACAGAATTGGTCATAGGTTAAGCCTTAAAGCAAGTCTCAACATATTTCAAAGGACTGAAATCATACAGGGGATGTTTTCAATGGATTCACACTGTAAATCAACAACAATAAAATGAGAAAGTCTCCCAAATACAATACATTTATAAATAGTCATTGGAGAAGAAATAATGGAAATTTGAATATATTTTGAACTAAGTGGTCCTAAAAATACAGGGGTGCAAAACTCTTAAGATACTGCTAAAGATGTGATGGCAACAGCAGTGGTATAGTGTTGGAATCATTCTGAAATCCTAAAAACAGACCATTAAATAGTAAAACCAAAACAAATACCTGTAACAAAACTGAAATGACAAGTTATCCCCAGGGACCCCAGGTATGAGTAGAAGGGGACAGCTCACTAACAGCTGTAAGACTTGTATTCTAACTTGGTTTGTGCTGGAGGAAGGAGAAGAAATAGTGCATCTGCTTAAACTGATAACAGGAATAAATATAGATATTCTATATGTAGAATATATATAATGTTAATTTGAAAGAAGGACAGCCCAGTCTGAGAATAATAGCTGCAGGGGGGGAGGGGAACTTTGAAGTCTTCTATCTGTAAAAGCTAGAGCATCTTGGTTTTCAGGACAAAACCCCATATAGAAGAGTAACTTCTGGAAATAACTTTCAAATGGAGCAGAATAACAAAATAGAAGCCAAGGAAATAAAAACATCCAGATAAATGTGGGAATGGAGAAAAACCCAGCTGATCTCAGAAAAAATTCGAGACCATAGTAAGATTTCACAAAAACAATAGAAGTTCTCTCTAATGCATGAAGCTAGAAAAACTATCATGATAAACACTCCTAAAAATTGAGAGAAAATTATTTCATGTAATATGTAGTAACAGTAAAAGATCAGTCAAATCCCATACAAAGTCATTATAGGCAAAAAAGTTCAACATACTTGTAAACACTGAAGGCATGCCAGAGAGACGTGTTCACAAAATATGACAACTGTAACCTAATAATTAAATAGAAATAAAATCGTTATGAGATATGAATGAATAGGCAAATTGCAACTATGAAAAGTCAAAAATGAGGTAATTATTTCATAAATGACTACAAGATAAACACAACAGATCAGGCCTTACGAGAAAGAGGGTAAAGAAACTTAGAGAAAATGCAGTTGAAAAAATTGAGCAAAATTCAACAAAATAAAATTTTCTACAGAAGAAAAAGCAGTGAAACAACAAATATTGGAAACATTTGCTGACAAAAGTTGATGCCAATAGGTTAGTTAATTTAATGGGACGATGAGGGAGTTCCTGTATGATTGTTTCTTTTTTCTCTATGAAGTACTGTTCACCCTTGAGCACTGGAGGTTAAGGGTACTGACTCCTGTGCAGTTAGAAATCTGCATATAACTTTTGACTGGAAAAATTTAACCACTAATTACCCACTGTTGACTGGAAGCCTACTGATTAACAGTTCATTAACGTATGTTTTGTGTGCCCTACATATTATATCTGTATTCTTACAATAAAGTAAGCTAGAGAAAAGAAATGGTGTTAAAATCATAAGAGAAAATGCATTTTTACTGCTTCACCATATTTATGGAAAAAAATACCCACATATAAATGAATGTGCACCATTCAAACCCACATTGTTGAAGGGTCAACTGTTTAAGACATAGCTATCTGAAGATAATAAAGGGAGTTGGTGACACAGCAGTAGGTTTGATGAAAAATGAAAATGACATTCTGAGGTTAGAAAAGTGAACATACTAGACTATGGTAATGGGATAGTTAAGCGGTCTTGAGTGTTCATTTGAAATTTATGGTCATGAATTCATAGTGAAAAATCAGCATGGTTGTGTGTTTTTGTCCAGTATAGTTCTGTAGTTCTGAATCAAAGTCAAGACACGTGATTTATTTGAAGTTTTACCAGGTATGTATCAAGAAAGGAGAGAAGTGAGGAATTAAAATGTTGGATTATGGGGCGCCTGGGTGGCTCAGATGGTTAAGCGTCTGTCTTCAGCTCAGGTCATGATCCCAGGGTCCTGGGATCGAGTCCCGCATCGGGCTCCTTGCTCAGCAGGGAGTCTGCTTCTCCCTCTCCCTCTGCCTCTCCCTCTGCTTGTTCTCTCTCTGTCTCTCTTGTAAATGAATAAATAAAATCTTTAAAAAAATAAATTGTTGGATTATGGAGGATAAACTATATCACTAGAGACAAAACATGAAGAATAGGAAAAATAGCAGAAACAGTGGACTTAGTAGATAGGACATCTCAGTGTCAAGAAATTACCAGAATGAGACTACTAAACTAGAGGCTTAAAGCACAAGAGGTTATATTTGGAAAATGGGAAAAAATAAAGATTTTGGAGTGGTAAAAGATTTAAAAGACAGGATCAATAGTAGGAGTATGATACCTGAGTTGGTGAAGTGGGGGTGGAAGAACAGATCTCTACAAGTGAGGCAAAGAATTGGGAGACTAAACTACTGGATGGATCATCCATGTTGGTAGAGTCACTAAAAATAGTAATGTGGGAAGAGAGTTATGTTAAAATTATTGTGAATGGGAGATTATTAGATTGAGCGAATGGTGAAGTTTGATGTCTTGAATTGCCTTTCACTTCTCTGTTGGCACTTTTCTTTGAATTATAGTTGCTTGCGTGTGTCTTCTGCCTTCCTCATGGACTCTAAGTACCTTGCACATAAGAACTATGTTTTACTAATCTATCTAATCCGTCTATTTCATGTGACGTTTAGCATAATAGTTTTTACACAATTGAGTTGCTCAATTGAGTTATACATCTTTTTAGTTTTCTAGACTTTTTTTGGTATTTCAACCAAATGAAATTTTTGTTGAAAAACAACAGTAAGGACTTAACTGCTTCTCATCTTAAACTACGTCTATTTTCATAATGCTTGTTTTAGTTTATGTGTAATGTTAACAATTGGATATATGACAAACTTAAATGAGTCTAGTTTGTTGGTGTGGTCACAATGTCTCCATTTAATAGTAAAATATAATAACTTTGGGAGGGTCACTAAATTAGAGTCTTAGGAACAATAGAGAAAGGGCTACTTTTTATTTCCAAAGTTTAAGAAGGAGAATACTTGACATGAAAACATTTTCATCAAACCAGTGGATTAATACAGTTGTAAAACAAAATTCTCCAGATCTATCTACCTACGCCTTTCCATTTTCATGGTTTTTTGTATGGGAGTGGAAGAACTGATGTGATGGAATGCAGGGATGGGAAAGAGGTAAGACACCAAGTAAAGTATCAGAGAAGGTTTAATAATGTTGTTCCCCCATATTTTTGTATATTTTATGTATATCGAATTATATATAATTATACATATCTATAGCATATCTAAGTATATGTAAAGCATACCAAAATCTATGTAGAAGATTAAAAGGCCCAAAAGATGGAAATGAGCATTTAAACTGGCAGTTTCCTTTTTGAATGTTTGTGTTTCAACCTAGACATATGTCTTTTATATTGATCTTTAGGTGTAATGTATTTCACAATTAAACAAGGTTAACTTTGAGAGGAATCTGTGATTTTAGTCTTAAATATGCTTGCTCATCTTAGTAATTCTTGCATATATGCATAATGGAAGTAGCAATTTGTAGAGAGGGTTTGTGTGTGTGAGACAGAATTACTTGCTGGTTAGATTAAGTTTTACTTATCTGTCTTTTCTATTAGGGTTAGTTTATTGAAACTTAATTCTCTAGAATAACAACAGCATGGTTTATTATAAAAAGTCATATTTTATAAAGACAATGTCGATTTTTCCCCAAATACCTTTCAAATAAGAAATTTGTAAAGACATTTTATTTCCATGTATGTATACATACCTATGTACATATATACACATTACACATATATGTGTATACATAGTTACTGAAACATAAAAATACACAATACCTTTTTAGAAGTTATAAGTCTATGGTTATAATCTTTGTTCAATAAGGTGTTCAAAGTTATAAAGTAATATATTTTAAAATTAGGAACCCCTCACTTGTGATCATTCTTTTATTTCTCATTCTTTTCATTTCAGAAATGAAATAATATGTATTTCTCATTCTTTTCATTTCAGAAATGAAATAATATGTGTGATTACTCCCTTCTTGTGCAATCATTATTTTAGTTAAAGTTTGTTGAAAATCCACTTACTGACGAGGCTTTTAATCCATTCATAAGTATTTGCTTTTTTAAACTATGAGCCTTTAATTTTATATTTGGAAAATTTTAGTCCACTTGCATAGAATATTTCCTTCCTATATTCAGCATACACAAAATCTGTTCAAATGATGCAAAATACTTTCTTAAATAAAATTCCTAAGATGTTTATCTGACAAGATATAATTGCTATTTCCAAATAAATACTGCTATTTAGTCTAGCCATATATAGATTTTGTACACATCAGTATTTGATGATACAACTAATATATTGCACTTTTAAAACTTTTCAATATAATGAACTTTATGGATTTTAGTTTTCATTTCGAATACATTGGGAAATATTGTCAATACCATTTACTAATTACCATTTTTCAATAAATTACAGCTAAAGATTTACCATTTTGGAGTTTAAAGTATGTCATCATGGCAAAGTTTCGAAGAAGGACTTGCATCATTTTGTCACTTTTTATTCTATTTATTTTCTCCCTGATGATGGGTTTAAAAATGCTGAGACCAAATAAAGCTACTTTCGGAGATCCTTTTGGACTTGAACTTCTTCCAGTACTTCATCAACAAACTCGCTTAGGGAAAAGCTTTGATTCCCAAAACAATGACAAAATCAACAGTGAAACAAATAACAAGAATTTAAAAAGTGTTGAAATCACTATGAAGCCTTCCAAAGCCTCTGAACCTTACCTGGAAGAGCTGCAACCTCTGAATTATTATTTACATGTATTTTATTACAGTTGGTATGGAAATCCACAATTTGATGGTAAATATATACATTGGAACCATCCAATCCTGAAGCATTGGGACCCTAGACTAATCAAGAATTATCCACAAGGGAAACACAGTCCCCCGGATGACATTGGCTCCAGCTTTTACCCTGAGTTGGGAATTTACAGCTCTCGGGATCCTTCTGTCATTGAAACTCACATGAAACAAATGTACTCAGCTTCAATTGGTAATTATTTGTGTGTGTGTGTGTGTGTGTGTGTGTGTGTGTGTGTGTAGAAATGTAGACTGTTTAAGTTACTAATTACTCTTCACATTGTTAATTACAATTTTAAGCTTATAAACTCCAGATTAAGCTGTATGTATGTACTTAAACATCCAGGAAACCACCTTTTAATACTACTTTAAAATACATTGTGTAATTTCTAATTTTTAGAACATTTCTGGATATATTTTTATTGATTTCTAATTTAATATTCTTTCTGAATCGTATTAAAGTATGATCTACATAAGATACAATGAATTCTCCCACTTCAAGCATACAGCTCAATGATGTTTCTCTTCCCAACATGAAGTAAATATTCTATAGCCCAGAAACTTTTGTCATTCTTCCCTTATGCACCCCCATATTCTTCCTCAGGAAATTGTGAATCTGATTTTTCTCACTGTAGAATAGTTGTGAATGTTCTCTTACTGTATGGAGATAGAATCATCTAGCATTTGTGTGTGTGTGGTCTTTTGCTTGGCACATCATTCTGAAGTTTACCCTTGTTGTTAACTATGTCAGTAGTTGAGTCATTGTTATTGCTGAATAGTAGTCCATTGTATGATTATAGCAATTTGTTTCTGCATTCATCTTGATGAACATTTGGACTGTTGCAAATTTTAGGCATGTAGTATATCATTTGGTCTTGGTTTTCTGTTTTTTAAACCTTGTCTAACAATCTCTGCTTTTTAAATTTGGGCTTAATTGTATTTAATAAGGATATGGTTTATTTTAAATGTTTTGTTTGCTGTTTTCTGTTTATCCTGTCTGTTCTACTCCTTTTTCCTCTTTTTCTGCCTTCTCTTATATAGGATATGTTTATTCCATTTTTTTCTCTTCTTATTATATATTTCTTTTATTTATATTATGATTGCTCTAAAATTTACAATATGCACTTTAACTTAACTGATGAGAAGTCTCTGATTATTTTTATTCCCCTTTTCCCTCAACTTTGTCTTCCCTCTAACTTCTGGCACTCCAGCTGCACACATTTACATAGAGTCATTATCCCACAGGTAATTAATAAAAAATGCATAATTGGATGCCTGAGAATTCTTCAAACTGTTAATCTACCCTCTAAAATAAAAAAGTCTCTGTTTCCTCTAGAACAAATTGGGTGTTCTCACATTTTTATAGCTGTACAAAAGGCACAGACTCACTATTGAGCTAATAGGTATATAGAGATGTGCAAGGCTTTTTCATTAAAACAATGTAGGATTCTGTGAATCTGCATCAACTATGCAAGATGACTTGTTTTTCGTTTTTCTTCTGTAATTATTTTTTTCCAACTATTTAAAAAAATTTAATTTTCTAGTATATACTTATAGCTCCAGTTTCTATGTTCTATAATATAAAATATGACATGAAATAGGATTGGTAAATTCAGAGATCATTGACTACAGTCTCTGTTTACAATTTACTTTTGGGGAGAGGACTTTTCAATGACTTTACTATTTTGTAAAAGAATTTATATCACATTTAAGCCTTTTTTGTTATTACAAGGTTGGCTTGTTTGTGACTGCTATGCTTGGCAAAAAATGGATATCCATGGAAGTTTCAGATTTCTTTAATGAAAACTGAACTTTATGCAATGAGTGTCTCCCCCCCCCGCCCCCAGGTATGTTTCATCTGAAGAAATAATATGTAAATGACATACTTTGTATGTTATTATTTGTAATTAGGAAGAAAACTTTCAAATCATATCTAGTTTTATGCCTGTCTTATGTTTATGAAGACCTTTCCCCCGTATATTATTTTACTGCTGCATAATATGTGTGAACATGAGTTACTTCAAAACATTGTCAACAATACAACTATTTTAATTTTAAATGTTGACTGTTTCACTATTGATGCAAATGTTTTATATCCTTTGATAGAAATAAAAGTGATATTGCAGTCCATCTATAAATTATTTTCTTATCAGTTAAATATTGTACTCATTTTTATTGAAATACTGACACTTAACATTCTGTAAATTTAAAGTATATAGCGTAGTAATTTGATATATATGTTTGCATATGATTACCATCGTAGCCATCAGCAATCCCTTTTATCACATCCCATAGTTATCATTTCTTCTAGTGGTGGAAAAAATGAAGATCTAGTCTCCTAGCAAGTTGAATGTTTTTAATAATCTTGTCTATAATCACTGTACTGTGTATGAGATCTCCACATCTTATTTATGTACTAGTTGCAAGTGTGTACCTTAAACAACCTCTCTCCCATTTCCCCACTCCTGAGCCCCTGGTAACCACCATTTCACTCTATTTCTTTGTTTTGTTTACATTTCATATAAGCTATCTGATAGTATTTGTCTGTGTCTTCTTAGCATAATGTCCTCAAGATACATCCATGTTGCTGCAAATGGCAGGATTTCACTACTTCTTCTGGCCAAATAGTATTCCATTTTATATATGTACATGTATATATATCACACTTTATATGTATTTACGTGTGTGTGTGTACACGCATGCGAGTGCATCTATCTATATCCATCTGTTTATATTTATCGCCATGTCTTTGTCCGTTCACTCATTGATGGACACATTTTGGCTGTCGTGTAATGTTGCAGTTACACAGGAATACAAATAGCTCTTTGACACATTTCGTTTCCTTTGGATTTATACCCAGAGTTGTGACTGCTGGATTATACAGTAGTTCTATTTTTAATTTTGGGGGGGAACCTTTATACTCTTCTCCATAGTGGCTGAACCAATTTAGATTCCACCCAAAAGTGTGCAAGGTTTCTCTTTTCTCTACATCCTTGCCAACACTTACTATCTCTTGTTTTCTTGATAATATCTGTTATAACAGGTATGAAAGGCTGTTTCACTGTGGTTTTGGTTTGTATTTCCCTGGTGGTTAATGATGTTGAGCACCTTTCCTGGCAACAGTGGCAAGTCTTCTTTGGAAAAGTGCCTGTTAAATTCCTCTGCTCATTTTTTAATTGGGTAATTTGTGGGGATTTTTTCATTATTGAGTTATAGGAATTCTATGTATATTTTGGATATTAACACATTATCTGTTAAATGGTTTACAAATAATTTATTTGCCTTTTCATTTTCTTAATTGTTCCTTTTGCAGTGTAGAAGCTTTCAGGTTTGATGTAGTCCCACTTGTTAATTTTTTCTTGTGCTTTGGGTGTCCTATCCAAATGTTTAATTCTGATCCATTTCTAGGTGGTGTAAGAGTCCAATTTTCTTTTTCTGCGTGTGGTTATCCAGTTTTCCCAGCATAATTTGTTGAAGAGATATCCTTTCCCCATTTAATATTAATATTCTTTGCTCCCTTATCCTTTACTAATTGACTATATATGGGGGTTTAATTCTAAGTACTTTATTTTGTTCTATTGATCTAAGTGCCTATTTTTATGCCAGGATCATACTGTATAATTAGTATAGCTTCGTAGTATAGTTTGAAATCAGTAAATATGATGGCTCCAGTTTTATTTTTCTTTGTTATCTTTGCTTTATCTATAGAGGAGGCTTTTGTGGTTCCATACAAATTCGAGGATTGTTTCTTTTATTACTATGAAAAATGCTATAGGAATTTTTTTTTGGCTTGAATAGTGGACGGATTTTTAATAATTTTTATTTAAATTCAATTAATTAACATAGGGTATTACTAGTTTTAGAGGCAGAGTTCAGTGATTCATCAGTCTTATGTAACACCTAGTGCTCATTACATTCTGTGCCCTCCTTAATGTCCATCACCGAGTTACCCCATCCCCCAGCCCTCTCCCCTCCGGCAACCCTCGGTTTGTTTCCTATGATTAAGAGTTTCTTATGGATTGCTTTGCTCTGTGGATTTCTTTTTTTTTTTTTCCTTTTAAGATTTTATTTATTTGTCAGAGCGATAGCGCACGCACAAGCAGGGAGAGTGGCAGGCAGAGGAAGAAGCGGGCTCCTCACTGAGCACGGAACCCGACATGGGACTTGATCCCAGGACCCTGGGATCATAACTTGAGCCAAAGGCAGACACTTAACTGACTGAACCACCCAGGTGTGTCCCACCCTCTGTGATTTCATCTTGTTTTATTTTACCCTCCCTTCACCTATGTACCTCTGTTTTCCTTTTTAAATTCCACATGAGTGAAATCATACGGTGTCTTTCTCTGATTGACTTATTTCATTTAGCATAATACCCTCTAGTCCCATCCATGTCGATGTAAATGGTAAGCATCCTTTCTGATGGCTGAGTAATATTCCATTGTGTGTATATATATATATATATATATATATATACCACATCTTCTTTATCCATTCATCTGTTGATGGACATCTCAGCTCTTTGCACAGTTTACCTATTATGGGCTTTGCTGCTATAAACTGGGGTGTAGATACCCCTTTGGATCACTACATTTGTATCTTTTGGGTAGATACCTAGTAGTTCAATTGCTGGGTCATAGAGTAGCTCTATTTTCAACTTTTTGAGGAACCTCCATACCGTTTTCCAGAGTGGCTGCACCAGCTTGCATTCCCACCAACAGTGTAGGAGGGTTCCCGTTTCTCTGCATCCTCGCCAACATCTGTCATTTCCTGACTTGTTAATTTTAGCCATTCTGACTGGTATGAGGTGGTATCTCATTGTGGTTTTGATTTGTATTTCCCTGTTGCCAAGTGATGTTGAGCACTTTTTCATGTGTCTGTTAGCCATTTGTATGTCGTCTTTGGAGAAATGTCTGTTCATGTCCTCTACCCATTTCTCGATTGGATCATTTGTTCTGTGGGTGTTGAGTTTGATAAGTTCTTTATAGATTTTAGATACTAGCCCTTTATCTGATATGTCATTTGCAAATATCTTCTCCCATTCTGTCGGTTGTCTTTTGGTTTTGTTGACTGTTTCTTTGGCTGTGCAAAAGCTTTTTATCTTGATGAAATCCCAGTGGTTTGTTTTGCCTTTGTTTCCCTTGCCTTTGGAGACCTGTCTAGCAAGAAGTTGCTGCACCAGGGTCAAAGAGGTGG